GCACATAAAGAGGGTATTTTCCCTTCCTATGTATCTCCTCCTTCGTCAAATCTACTTCCCCTTCCCATCCTCTACTTATATAAAAGGGTGGTAAAGAGGAAGTAACTTATATTAGGCCTCAGGCACCACACTCATCAGACGAAACACGAAATTGTTTCCATTTCACGCCTGTCTTCTGTGTGGTCGTGGTATCACACCGGGCGTGCCGGCCCATTCGTGCTAAGATGTTAAAGCGGGCACTACCACTCTCTATATTTGTACTAGCTTTCGTACGCGACTCCGTCCGCGTGAAATAAAAGAAAAAGTGAGTTACCAATGTGTTCTCGACTATCCTCTACATCTATACCAAAATTCATCGAAATCCACTCAACCGTTTAGGCTACAAACTCTAACAAACATCCATCCATCTAAACTTTCGTATTTACATTAGTATGATAACGCGTAAATTGCATGTAAATGTTGTAGATATGATTAATAATAATAATAATAATTTTTTTATATAATATGTTTTATTTTGTTATTTTTTTAAGAAAATCTTGTGAAATATATTATATATAAAAATAAGAAAATAAAGATATGAGATAGATAATAATAATAATAATAATAACTCATTTAATCCATTCAGAACGTAAAATATCATAGTAGTCGCAGATAAAAGATTAAGGAAATAAAAATAATAAAACATCTACATGCTAAAACACAGAACAACAGAATAATCGAATATACACGAAGCACATACATAATTGGCAAATGTAAAAAAGAAAAAAAAAAACGATACGATATTACGATTACTTTCTTACAAACTTTCGTGCTAGGTCCTTTTGTCTTAAATGTCTTAGATTATTCACAAGGCAATGATATCGAATAGATTCAATGTCGTGTCAAGCAAATTGTTTCGTTTCGAATTATATTAAAAAGTAAGATAAACTTTTTTTCTAAAGTCGCCTTCTTCTATAGCTCTACGGCCTTTTATTTATTTTTTTAATTTTTTATTCCATTTTGGCCCATCTCTAGCCATGGTCCTCCAGTTTGCTATGCCAACGGTTTTCGCATCTCGATCTTACTAATATAAATGCAAAGTTTAGATAGATGGATGTTTGTTAGTGTACCTTAACTGCTGAACGGATCTCGATTAAATTCGGTATAGATGTAGAGTGAAGAACACATAGGCTACTGTTAAGAACAAAATTAGTACCGTGCTGTAGAATTGGCGCAACTCTAGATTATCGGCATAAACGTCACGTCCCTAGCTGACAGCTGTCAATGTGACTAGAAGTATGTATAGATTGGCGCGCAACCTGAGTCCTGACGAGAAGTGTTGCTCTGAGTTAAAAGCGACAGTATCAATTAACTAAGTTATCTAAATCTACTTGCTTTTGTTTTTTATTGTAATTCCACGCAGACGGAGTCAAGCGAATGTTTATTTATAAAGTCGCCTATATCATAATTCAAGTTCATATTATACGGAAAATATATGTTTTAATTAATTACATAGTAGTAGTAGTAACAGGAAATTACAAACTCGTTTTATGACGTACTTACTTCCTGTAGTTGACGTAGAGCTTTCTTAAAACTGGATTATTTACGTGATTCATACAAAAATAATTAATGAATTATAACAAACTAGTTCCCGCGACTCCGACTGCGGGGCATTAAAAAATACAAAAGTTATGCCTATGTGTTCTTCCAGACTATCCTCTACATCTATACCAAATTTCATTGAAATCCGTTCAGCAGTTTAGGCTACAGACTCTAACATCCATCCATCTAAACTTTCGCATTTATAACATTAGTATGAATTATGTTGTCAGTTATACGAATATATGTGTCATGTATGGACATTGTCTATCTATGTTGCTTTCTTCGAAGTATTTTATATCCATTTAAAATAAGTATTATTAATTTGCCCAAACATCCTTTTTAAAAACCCAAATATATACGAACTCATAAACAATATGTACAGAAATTATTAAATGTATCGCATTGCGTATCCAATATCCGTTGCCGGTGATGTAAACGTTATTATAAAATAACGTGGTGTTATGGAAACACGTCCATTGTCTAACTGTGTCCGTTAACACACGACACGTCATACACGTGACATGATTAAAAGAAATTAATTGATTTATATAATTTTATTTCATACGAGCTGTTGCCCGCAACTTTGTCCGCGTGGTATTAGAAAACATACGAACTATATAAATTACAAAAAACTACGTATCCCTCGGGAACCGGACATATCTCGGGGATGAAGCTTATCCCATGTGTACTCCAGATTTTGTTTTATATCTGTGCCAAATTTCGGTAAGATATGTTGAACCGTTGCAGAATGATCGAGTAAACATTAAAAAACTAAATTAATGAATCCCACGGGAACCGTAACTATTCCCGGGATAAAAAGTAGCCTATGTGTTCTTCTCGACTATGCTCTAAACCTGTGCCAAATTTCATGGAGATCCGTTCAGCCGTTTAGGCTACAAACGCTAACAAACATCCATCCATCCATCCATCGATCCATCGATCCATCCATCCATCTAAACTTTCGCATTTATAATATTAGTAAGAAGTAAGATTAAAATGTTACTTATTTATCGTCTTTTATAAACAAACGACGTTAAGAATGTTCTTTCAATTGCCATGCAAATATTAATGATACTCCTTTACCGCGTTTCGTACCTTCCGAGCTATTATAAAGTTTGAATAGCATTATACATAAACAGGCTTTTCTATGAAGTATAATAACAGTATTGGACTTTCAAATAAACAATAGAATAATAAAATTTAGAAAACTTCGATATATAAAAGTAGGTCCTTCGAGTCGGAAAATTCAGACTTTTTTTCTTATTTTTATACCAATTTTTTGTTCGATTAATTCAATTACTTGTTTAATTAGAGAATTTTAATCTATACGTAATATTATAAAGAGGAAAGAATCAACCGTTTGTTTAAATTAAATAGGCTTTGAAACTACTGAACCCTAAGTCAAAAAATCTAAAAAACTAAAAATTTGTTACAATATTTTTGTAGAATGAAGTTAAGAACAAAAGCTAGTTTAGTCAAATTTGATCAAATAAAAGAATAAATAAATAAATTCTGACTCAAGATCTAAACTGTATTCATCTTTCTATTCAAAAATATTTGCAAAAAAAACAACTTTTTATCACATATATTAGCTATATTATAATAGCACTTAAGTGTATCTCACAATTAGCATAAAATACAGTTCTGATGTAAAAAAAACAAGACTCTATAAAATTTTGCATAAAATTTATTATTACCGAGGTGTTTATTATGTTTATGACATTCTTCACTTAAATAGTCAATGAAATATTAATTTCATGGGTTTTCTAGATTTATAGTTTTTTTTTTTAAGCTAGCGCATGACCACGATCTCACCGACTGAGAGTGAAGATTTGGTCGATAGATGGTACGCGCTACCCTAATAAATACGCATTCACTCTTTTCTTTTCATAGTCAGTAGAAAACTCAAGTATTTATACTTCAGCATTTCTTATTATAACAGAAATATTTATAATGTTTTTTTTCTCAAGAATTTCTTGCATAACATACAAATCAAAAGTTTTTATAGAATATTATTATTAACTAGCTGTTCCCATGCGACTTCATCTGCTTATAAAAATTTTATTTATTGTTCACATTTGTCAAATTATCAATTGCAAATGTCAAAATGACATGACATGACAAACCATGGCAATCTTTGTTTCTTGATGTTGGCAACAGCTTATGGTCTTCCCACATAAGGGTTTTTACCGAAAATATTTGCCCCTAAGTTTAACGGCGTGAAAATATATAGCTTAAAGCATGACGTGTAAGGCTTTTTATTAAAAAAAGAGTTTTTGGAAAATATGCTGTGATTGCTGACATCTTAGGTAACAAAGTGTGTGTTTACACTTTATTATAATAGTATAGATAAAGAAAGAATTTTTACAATAACATTGTAATGTGAATATTAATTGTTTTTGCATATTTTAAGTACAATTGATGTGACATTTTTATTAGATTTCTCAGACGATGTTTACTTTTAATAAGTATAATTTGTAACAATGTGTTACATTGTTACAAAATTATGTTAAGTCAAGAAATTTCTAGAGAAATGACAATATTGAAATTTACTGTACACCTTCAGTTTTAACTGAACAGTTGGTCTGTAATTGTGTGTAGACTGTTGATTACAGTTTTACAAACAATAAATTTGCTTAAACAAGTATATTTACACTTTGACTATGGTTAAAATTGGAAGAGATAAGTTAATGCTGACTTAAAATGAAAATGCCAAGATGTTCTTTTGTTTTTTCATGTTTTAAGTTAATCTATACTATTATTATAAAGAGGAAAGTTTTGTATTTTTGTATGTATTGATAATTCAAAATACTACTCAATTTCCAAAATTCTTAGACCATTAAAAATCTAGGTTATCACTGAGTAACATAGGCTATGTTTTTTTATTATTTTTCAAATTCACATGGACAAAGTCCCGAGTATTTAATAGTAACGAAGCCGTGACGACTGAAAAAGAAAACAGCTGTATAACCTATAACTTCGTTTCCTTTTTTTGTATTTCACGTTTGCTTTACTCTGTGTAACTTTAAACAATCAACTTGAATACCGTTTTCCAAGTATAATCGTGTATGTTAAACTTACGGTTTCGTAGAATTCGAGACAATTGCCGGTATTCAAGTCGTAACATTACTCGATCAATAACAAGTACGCATCAATCATTTGTATTACCTTAATCACATATATGACAATGTACTTACGGCATAAATAATTCCACGTTAGTACTGTCACTAATCAGTATAATAAATCGATCAAGAATAACGTTAAACACCGAAAAGAAATAGACACATTTCAGTCACTTTTTATTTAAATTTCTAATAAAATGGTTCGCTATTATCACCGCATTTAACTTATATTTATATCTAATAATAATACAATTCAAAGTAAAACGTTTCCAATAAGAAAAAAAATATTTTACTTACAGAATTAACTCGTGAAAATATTCAGCAATCAACTCGACACTTTCCACTATAGTGTAGCACTTAATGATCGTAGAGTTATTTTATACTTTTTTTTACTAAAAAAATTAATGTGTTAAGTAAAAACTTGGTATCGAAAGCACGAGAATCAATCGAGGCATAACCTTATTAAGTTTTTTCTCAAATCTCCGCACCTTCAACTTGTCGTTCGAACTTCGAAGTTCCGTCACTTGGTCAAAAATAGCATTGGCGCCACTGTTGATATTTGACATTTAAACCAATTAAAACTAAAAATACATGTTTCATTTTAAGCATCATAAGTTACATTTAAATAAATCTAAGAAATCCCTTTTTATTTTTGAAGATAAAGTAACTGAAATAATTAAAATGCATTTTACATCCAGTTGTTCACACTAAATGACTATTTTGTTTTATTTTAAGCTTCATGTTTCTAATTTTAATTTATATTCTAACTACCGACATAATCTGTGGAGCCGTAAACATATTAGTATAATCTGTGTTAAGATAAAAAGGCGGCACAACCAAATGTCAATCAAAGTTTTAGTTCGTTTATAGTTTATTTATTAAATTCAAATTTAAAAAAGAAACAAGTGGCTGTTAATAATTTATTTATCATCATATAATATTCAACATGTCAAATGCACGTACTGCTCGACTATCGCGTGAAATTAAGAATTTCGAAAAGAAATCTCCTTGGGGAATTAAGTGTTCTCCTGAAAAAGAGGACATTTACGATATTCTAACAGTAAACATGCAAGGTCCAAAGGGATCTCCTTATGAGAAGGGTATGTTCAAACTTGTTGTCGACGTACCTAAACGATATCCCTTTGAACCACCTTTGGTGAAGTTTGTTACGCCAGTTTATCACCCAAACATTGACAAAGGTAAGGTTTCACTATTATTTTAAAGAAGAAAAGCCTATTATGAGTATTACAAATCAACACATCTTATTAAACTTGTCACCTATAGCAATATTTCCCTTTTGTGTGTTTGTTTTAACTAATTTGAGTTTTATCAACTTAAGTGGTTTAAAAGTTGTTATACATCTGGTTGTTTAAGTTATCAGGTATCAGATATTATAGCATAAATTATCTTTTACAGAAGGTCGAATATGTATGGATTTATTGAAAATGCCACCGAAAGGTGCCTGGGTGCCGACCATAACATTGGAGAACTTACTGGTTTCATTACAAACATTGCTGGCAAATCCTAATCCACACGACCCTCTTATGATGGATATTGCTAATGAATATAAATTAAATATAGAAAAGTTCAATGAAAATGCTAGAAGATGTACAGAGAAATATGCTACTGGTAAACAGATGTAATGGATGAACCTAATCTATACTTCTTTAGTAATGCAAAGAGAAAAGATGTGTATTTTTGTATATGTATCTGTTGTTTTTAGAGTGTGACTCAGTGCCACAAAGATATTATTGTACATATAGATATTTTGATTTATATTATAAGTGTGTTATTTATTTGATTGGAAAATATGAGTTAAAAAAAAGTTTACTTATAACTTATAGCTTTCACCCGCGACTCTGTCTATGTAAAATTAAAATATAACAAAAATGAGTAGCCTATGTGTTCTTCCAGATTATCCTCTATGCCTAAGCCAAATTTCATTGACACCTGTTCATCATTTAGGCCTCAAACTCTAACAAACATTTATCATCATCATTTAACAGTGGTAGTGCCAGCTTTAACATGTTAGCACTGCAGGGCCGGCACGCCCCCAGTAATACCACGACCACACAGAAGACAGATGTGAAATGGAAGCAATGCCATATAAAATCTGATGAGTGTGGTGGAGGCCTAATTTAAGTCCCTTTCTCTTTACCACCCTTTTCTTATAAGAAAGGGATGGAAAGGAAAAGTGGATTTGACAGTGGAGGATGCATAGGAGTGGTAAATATCCTCTTTATGTGCATCTCCTCCATCGGATAAGGGTAGGCAACACATCTGCAATTGCAGATGTCTGGGCAGCGGTCGCTTCGCTATTTTGGCGGATTCAGGTGGCCGCTTGCTCGTTTGCCACCTTGTTATTAAAAAAAAATCCATCCATCAAAATTTTTGCATTTGTAATATAAGAAAGATTTTGTTTTTGTTTTGTAAAGCTATTTTAATTCAACTTACAACTATTATTCTTATAGGAAATAATCAAATAAATAATGTCAAGTAAAGTAGATTTTAAAATTTATTGCCATTATTACATAGTTTACATGAAATTGATATATTCAGATTTATATAACAAAATTACTTTAATTCCATAACTAACAGATGTTTGTACATCACCAATGAACCACTTTAAAAGTCCAGGTAACATAGACATGAAGTACTGAGCTGTAGTTCAACTTAATTGGCCAGCTCAGAGATCACAATTTAATATAACTATGAGAGCCGACAATCTTATTTGAACAGTTACAAATTGAGCTAAACTACAGGCTTAGTGATTTGTCAAATGTGTTGTAAATTGATCTGCTGGTCATCAAATTTAGTTTAGTTGCACCTAACTATAACTGCCATCTTTTTTCACAATTTCATTTGTTTTAACAGATATTAACTACAATCACTGACAAAACTAAAACTACTAGTGTTTGCCCATGACTTCATCCACATATATGTTCTTAGATTATCTACATTAGTTTTCATACAATAAGCTGTTTTATAAATACATAGTAACAAATATCTATCCACCCAAACTTTCACATATAAGTATTGAGTACAATAAAAGTGCTGCTGCAGTAATTAAATAAAATGCATGAATTACAGCAAGAAATTGACTTCACAACAATCTACGAAGACTAGAATTGTCCGATAACTTTCACAAGTGAATTATTCCACTTTATCCAAGACTCATGTCAAACTGTCAACCGGTGTCCGTACTTGTTTCATCACCTGAGCTTGCGCTTTCAGTCTCCGAAGAACTGCTGCCTCGCTTCACCCTCTTTCCCATCATTAAGAAAGTCGGAGAACCAACGTCTTTACTACTTTGCGCTTCTGTATTATTATTATCTTGGTTCAATTTTACATCTTTCTTTGATTTCTTTTCGCTACTTGTCGGTTTTAATGTTTCTGTGGAGACGGTGGCCACCATTTTAGATTGTACCCTCGTTTCGGATACACCAAAATCTTCTTCGTCATCGTTGACTGGTTTCTTGTTGGCTATAGATGCTGCTACTGCTTGTTTGTAGGCATCAGGGTATTGTTGACTGGAATAGCAAGTAATAGAGAAAATTAGACATCAATCTATATTTTTTTATCTTAGAAATAGGTAAACAGTATTGAAAATAAAATTTAAGGCTTTCAAATATAATAAATTGCATCAAAAACAGTCTAGTACTTATTTGGTAGGTTACAAACCTTAGTTTAGTCTTCATAGCGCGTATCTTTTTGAAAATGAACTCGAGATCTTTTTTCATTTCCAGCAATAGTTGTGTGTGTTTCTTGAACTCTGTAGACGCGGCTCTAAGACGACTTGAAGATAGCTGGTTGCAGTTAGTCAGCATTTCTGTTGTTTTCTCGAAACGTTGAAGCCTAAAATAAAATTATGAAAGAACAAAGAATTATGGTTTTTTTACCTGTTTTACAAGAATTTGTCATATAAAAATATGAATACAACGTAACTTACATGACTTTTTGGGCGCGTATAATTGTTTCGACGTCCGTTTGATCGACCATACCTGCTAACCCTTGTACGAAAACTTCTGGTGCAGTATAATTTTGAAAGCATTCTATTGAGAAATCACTTTCTGGAGTATCATTGGCCATCGTAATTATAAGTTTATACAACACAAAAGCACAATTTTAACTTTACGAACACAAAATCTTCTATTTTTCTGTTGTCAAGTTGACAATGACAGCTTTAAATACAGTTGCCAATAAGAATATTTGTAAAAAAAAATATTGCTTCGTTCAAAATGAACTGAATTTTTGAAGGTAATCTAAAGTTTTGTGCACACTTGTACAATAAATGGCAAATTATGAAAATTAAGACGAATTATGTGAAGTAAGTTTTATTAATGCAATTACAATACATAGTTTTGTTACATCAACAATCTATTGCAGTACTTTTGTAACAGAATGTAAAATTATTGAAGGGTTTTCAAAATGTTAAAATAGTAGATATTTACTCATTATCATCGTTGTATTGAGCAAGACCCTCAACAGCAAGCTCAAACGGTACTCCATATTGTTGTATATTTTGACCAAAATTGCGACGCCAAATCCTACTTATTTCTGGTTTTTGTCTCCAAGTTTTCTTTTTATTAAACAATCGATTCTTTTGTTTGCCCGTTAATGGAAGTACTCTTTTAGGTTCTCTTAAGTATGCGACGGGCTTAGAGTTAACAATTAATTTATAGATCCAATTTGGTACAATAATATTGTTGGAATTATCATTTGATGGTACAAATTTAACTTTACTGTTCTTCCCAAACATAATGTCGTTAATTTCAGATTTCAAATCTTGTTTCGTAAGTTTCTGTTTATTTATTCTCATTTTACCTTTGAGGACTCTGATTTTACTTTTCTGCGTGTTGGTAAGTACTGACAAGTTTGGTCTCTTGGCATTTTTATTCGTTACAAAATTTGTAAACGAATTAATTACCTTTTCTTTTAAGTGGTTAAAATTATCGACGAATTCATTAGGATTAGAAGATTCCTGTTCGAGTAATACCGACCGTGGAAAAGCAGAGTCTTCCTCCTTATCTAATAATTCTGTATCGTTATAAAACTTACCAAGATCGACAATGATGGCTTTTACATCATTTCTGGTCTTGTGGCGCGCGCCGTGGTGAGGGAAATTATCGGAGTTTAATTTTTTCAATGTTTCTGCGTCTATCGCTTGAGGTAAAATATTTTGTCTTAATAGATCCTCTAGATCTGCGAGATCGTTGACTATTAACAAGTTAACGCGGGTGTTTGGATGATTTTTGTCATCTATTTTAATACTAAAATATCCGTCATCCTCATTTTCATTATCATGCGATATTTTTTCATTGTTTTGTACATTATCATTTTCTTTTTCGGATTCCACCTCACTGCTAGTTTCTTGATTGTCTTTATCTAATTTTTCTTGCAGGTTATTTATAAAGGTTTCAACTTCATCGACTGTTTTTTGATTACTTACTTTCTTGTCGTCACATCTGCCTGGTCCGCTGCATCCACATCTTCCTGTTTTTGCGCACAAGTTGTCTTTCGCGTTCCGAAGGAATCTATCAAAATCTTGGTCGTTGAATTTGTTATTGTTATTTACTACACGTTTGATGAACGCGTTAAGCATATCGACGTCGATTCTATCCGCATTGTTGTCATTATCGGGGTTTCTGAGTGTTTGTTGTCTGTTTTTCGTCCGAAGATTCGTTACATCATTACGGTTGTCCATGTTGTCGTTGATAGTGTTTAGTATCTTTTTTAAATCGATTATCGTCCTGGTTTGAACATTCCTCTGTATAGTGTTGTTAATGAGAGCAGCAAGTAAAACAGCTTGAATTAGTTTCTTGAACATCTTTAGCTTATCAAATTTACAAAAATATGCATAGCCTTTGCAATTTATGAATGAATTGATAGACTGTGACTATTAATAAATTAATAAATACTTATAATTGAATTTCAAATTGACCGCAAAATCATTTTTGGATATAATTAAAAATTATAATCTTGCGTTATCTTGCATATTGAATTTATAGTTATTATAAAGTTAATTTGCAGCTACACGTTGATATGACATAGTTGGAGTTGTTTACAATCGTATAAAATTATGTTATCGTATACACATCCCTTACATACTCTTAAATAAAAACAGAAACAATAGTATTATTGTATAATCATAAGTGTTACTGTAGACATAACCCAAAGTAAGCGAGTTAATTCAATAATTAAATAAATAGCAAAAACGCGAAAAAGCACCCAAATCTTCTTTAAAATCAAAAATATAATTTCCGACGTTAAACTGGTCAATGTATGAGAGAAAAAATCTGTATTTTCTGGTAATAGTAAACTGACAAGAGATTCTTAATGCATCAGAGTAAAAATTGAGTTTAAAATGATATAGCACTCAAAAAGGTTATAGGAGAATTTTTTGCATGTGGAGGCAGATTCGAAGTATTCTTAGGAGGAAAAAAGGAGTACCTTTTGTTTAGATTGTTACCATTAAAAAGCTTAAGAGATTTAATCATTTATTGCATTAATATATTGCTGGCATTGTCATATAGCCACGTAAAACCATGTGAACAGGGATAGCGTAGTTAAAAATGGCTTCATTCTCTCTTCGATTTCCGTCATGCCCTCCTTTACGTCCTCCATTGTCTAGATTTACAAATATATCATTTAAAGATCTTCTGATCGGTATTTCTTGTCTGTGATCATCATTGTCAATATTATCAATATTATCATTTTCATTAGATCGCCTCCATTTACCGATTTGTTTAGCAATATTTTCTAATTCATGTTTGACTTTGTTTTTAATTTTTTTAATAACGACCTCGGCATTTTCATCCGGGTCTTTGGCATTAAGGAGTTTCCATCCAGATCTTCTATCATTGTTGTTCATGATCGTTTTTCTAAAGTTTCGTCTATGGGCAGGATATTTGAAGTAATTTTTTTGAAATCTGAGCAACGGTTTTAGATCAAATCTGTCGTTGCGATCGTCGAATCGAATATCAGGTTTGAACGCGGGGTCAGAAAAATATTGGCAGTTAATGACCGCGAAAGAAAGGATAAATAAAAATACGATCTGAAATTAAAAATAAAATTATTAGTATAGGTACTATATCTTTTACTTTATTACAGCCACAGTTTTAATAAAGGCTGGTGTAGATTTAATTTGAGAAATCAATAATAATGGGTTTAAGGTGCAATACGGGTTAACGACTAATAAAAATGCTCGCTCGATGACAATTGCAACAAGTGCGCGATAACCTTTAAACAACGGGTAAATGTGACAGTTGTTAAGATGAACGTTACTTTTCTTCTGTCAAAAAAAGTTTTATATCGAGAAAAAATTTGCAATAAATAAATTGTATTTTTTTTAACAAACAAATAGTAGTAACATCTTACCATTTTAAAACTTAAATTATTTTGTGTAACCTAATAATAGCATTATCCTATTCTATTTTACTCTTAACCTGACAAATATTGAATAAAAAGTTACGCAAATTCAATACAAATGTTTTACGATGATTATAATCGCAATACTATAGATTCAATCAATTTTAATTGTCTTTGTAAATGAAAACTGTTATGTAAAATTTAAATTAAATATTCAATTTTAGTTTCCAGTCCAGTGCTACCGTTACTAGTGCCTTGGGCTAGATTTCTACAGCGCCCTTTTTTATGCCTTTGGGGGACTTAATACGATGTGGCCCTGTGGCGTCCTTTACTGTCCAACGCCCAGGGCGGTCGCCCAACAGTGCCCGTATCGCCCTCACTGTTACAGGCAATCCAAATGGAAAAGTCAACCACCAATTTTGGAAATTCAATTTTTATAGGAAGAGTATTTAGCGTGTTTAAATTAATAATTTGGCCTTATATTTGTAAAACAAGTAATTAAATTAATTTCAGTCAGAAATTCAATCGCCGCATTACTTCTGTGCCGTATTTCAAAACAAGCTCCGCAAACTCGTGGTCGGAGCCAGAAAAAATGCAAATGGCGCGTCGTGACGCCACGTCCGCGCCATCTGGCGGCGGGCGCGCGCTGATGCCGCTTTAATTGCAACTCGAGCGCCATATTTTATTTCCTTTCCCGCGCATTTCGCCCATTTTCGATATATTTCTGACTAACAATCCGCCCAGAATTTTCTCGTTGTATAAACTACTAGCGTCTTACATACATACGAACTTGTTCATTAATTTATTAAAGTTATATTAACGGTAATTTGAAGTGCCAATAGTCCAACTACCGCTTATTTAAGTTACTAATCTAGAGGTCGTGGAGTTCGAATGCCGTCATTAAATTTTAGAAAACTATATTTATTACAGCACAAGCTTGAAGCTTAAATCTTATTTCATTTGGTTAAAATAAAAAAGGATCAACTTGATTAAAAATATGTATACGATGAACCTGTAATGATAGTGATTGTGAACCAGCGCTTGGCCATAAACAATTCAAACGGTAATCACTGTTTACTGTTGTCTCTGCTTTTCCCGCCATTACCGCCGCGACCCTGTCATTTGCTCGCCATTAAATGAATTAGCTTTGAAAACATTTTAAAAAGAAAAATCGTGTGATATTCATGTTTATTTATATGTATCGATGTAAATTGAACTTCGGTTTCCTGTTGCCTAATTTTAGTTTTCTTGCCCTCTCCACCAGAGGAATGGTCGGGAAGGGAAAGTGGATTTAGCGAGTGATAGGACGCATAGGAAGGGGTATTACCTTCTTTCTACGCTCTTAATTTTTTAACCAATTTAACGACATACCTAGTTTTATTTTTTGCCAATATAAATCAAGATATTTTTAATTAAAAACTCCAGTCTGCAACTAACCAGTTATGCGGGCACCATTAGCCAATGAAAATGTTTGGCATACGGGCTCTATCACCTTACAAACCTTTCGTCACCGAAATCGGATTTAGAACAGGGCTACCGACAGCAAAAAAAATTACAACCAGAGATTGACCAACCGGTGACTTGACGAATCAAATGATATCCACAGATAACAAATCTCATTTACTTATTTTATACTCACAAACACATGTCTAATCAGTATATTATACAATATGCATCAAATGCCAAAGGTTTCAAGTTGGCAACCCTATCACTCAAGTCTATGGTATACGAAAAAAACCGCCCGCATCCAAATACCCCTATTGTCGAAATAAATTGTGAGAAAACTTAAGAGTAAGTTATAGAAAGTCCTTAACAATTCGCATTTAAAACTAATATATTTGGAGTTAATTCATCCTTATGAGAGTTAGCAGGGCCGGCAATGCCCAGGACGTTGGGCAGAAAGCGTCAATGGCACCCAGACATAGTATCAGGTAATGTTAAATCTAACTGCAAGCTTCTAATAAGCGCCGTAGATATCGCGTGTGCTAATGTCGCTAAAAACGATGCATAAGTCTGTGAATCGATTGTAAGAGCGTACACCTAATGACTAAACTTTCGCACAACTATTTAGTCGCGCTTTGATTCCTATGAGGTTATATGAAGACACTACTCGATTTTCAGTTGTACAACTAAACAGTTGAGGCTGCGAAACAATCGACAATCGCACAATAGTTGTCTGATAGATAAGTCAAGGCCCGTTCTTAATGTGGCAGTCGCAAGACTATCTTACTAATACTATAAATGCGAAAGTTTAGAGGGATGTTTGTTAGAGTTTGCAGCCTAAACTGTTGAACGGATTTCGATGAAATTTACCATAGATGTAAAGATAGTCTGGAAGATCACATAGGCTTACTGTTTTTTATGTCACGCGGACGGTGTCGCGGGCGAAAGCTAGTATCTGCATATTTGAGAAAGCTTCTCTATATTCAATCTGTAATAGCAAAATGTTTACTAATAATTATATCGCGCTGAGTCTGCCGTTAACAGCTGAGCAAACGAACAGGAATCGTTTGTACAACTGATCACTGCACAATGCTTTGTTTTACTGTTCAAAGACTTTAGATATATGAGATGGTTGGTGATACTAGAAATCCATAAATAGCAAGAATTAATAAAGCAATATATGAACGCCTCTGGATGAGTTGCTAATGACAGCGTATGCTTTGTCCTGATTTGGCGTCATATTCCTGACAGACTCTATCTCTATTAGTTCCTATTTTCACCACCGCTACAAACCGCAACAGGCAGCGCCAAAATGGCGGAAATCAAAAAGACACAAAGGACCATAGCTCATAGCCTATCTAGTGTTATTCAAAATAAATGGAGAAAGTTTATGAAAAAAATATGTGTCATTGTGATTATTATTTTAAAGGACTATTTAGAGAAATATTGTTATGTTTAGATCAACACGATATTGTAGAGGTCAGTAAATAACTCACATTACATAAACTCAAACTGCAATTTAGCGTGGGAGCCGCCAAAATGAGTTAAGCACAGTCGCGTACAAAAGTCAAAGTATTTATTTAAATTTATTTGCTTTATAACAATCGAACATATATTAAAAAGTAATAGAGACGCAGAAATATAGTCATGCAATGAAAATAGTAAAAATAACTATTGAATATTTTTATTTTATTAATAAGTATTGAAGATAACTAAGAATCTTTATAGCACAGTTTGAATTCCTAAATGTAACTTTATTTATGACAAATTAAACACGTTTTATCAATTATATACATACTAAATTTCATGAAATATTCTATCTCAACCACTGAGCAATAATTTCCAATGCATTATATGATACTAGCTGGTGACCACGACTTTCTCCGCGTAGTATTCGAAAACATACGACTATTTATTAACAAAAAGCTACGTATTCCTCGGGAACCGGACATTTCTCGGGGATGAAGCTTATCCCATGTGTACTCCAGACTTTGTTTTATATCTGTGCCAAATTTCAATAAGATATGTTGAACCGTTGTAGAATAATCGATTAATCATTAAAATACTAAATTAATGAATCCCACGGGAACCGCTACTATTCCCGGTATAAAAGTTTAGCCTATTTGTTCTTCCAGACTATGATCTAAACCTGTGCCAAATTTCATGGAGATCCGTTCAGCCGTTTAGGCTACAAACGCTAACAAGCATCCATCCATCCATCTAAACTTTCGCATTTGTAATATTAGTAAGAAATGGTGTACTTGTGCAAACACTTGTGTACACGAGTGTACGTGTAATATGAGCGAGCAAATTTAATGTTCCACCTGGGCCCGCACCGATATCGACGTATTGCCGGCCTGAAAAATGGCCCACTGACGCCCCCCTCACGCCCCACCGCTCTAACGCCCCGCCGCCCTGGACATGATTTATGTCCTGTTTATTATTTCGTCATAATATTGCATTTTCTAACAATCCTTTTATCAAAATTGCAATAGTTTTTTTCGAATACTCTATACTAATATTTTTGTATGTATTTGGTTCACTTAAAAATTACTGGGCTGATTTTAAAAATTCCTTCAACATTAGAAATGTAATTTAACTATAAGTAAAACTAATTTTCTATTATTTTTTTAATTTTACGCGAACGAAGTCTCGTGCAAAAGTTATTAATAATTTTTTTCGAATATCCATAAAGAGCAAACGTTAACCATAAGGGTAGTATTATGTCGGGAAAATACAATTTTTAATGATTTATAATAATTGAATTTAAAACTTATAAAATGAAACTTATACACCAACTGTACAGAATAGTAAACATTCTTATATGGTTTATTTTCTAGTTTATGACAAAAGGCAACAATTTTCTCAAAAAATAAATGAGGGCTACAAGTATTAATTAAAAAATTTAACTAAACTTTAGTGTTTATTCCATATAACGTAATAATTACAAGTTAACAGATATTCAAGTGTAGATATTTTTAAGGCAATATTTTCACCCTATAAACGCTTCAAAGGCGAAAAACAACTCGTCGCCGTAAACTCAGCGACGGGTTTCATAAAGCGTTTTCACGTTCCCGCCCTCAGTTCCGAGCTAGACGCGTTCCTGGCTGAACGTACGCGATCGTTGCCTTTTATCGCTAACGTACGCAAAAAAAATAATTCGATCAGTCAGCGCGGGCTTTTGTTTTTTTTGAATGGATGCGTTCTAATTTACGCACATTAATATTGTTTTATTTATAAATTGTTTTTGATTATTTATATTGTAATAATATTTATTACTTGTTGCGTAATTTATTGTTGTTTATTATATTTTCGTGTTTGTGTTGTTTTATTATCAGTTTATCTGTGAATTTATTTTCCGTGTACGTTGTTGTGCGACTGCAACGAGAGCCGGCGGAGCTGTCAGTTGTCAGCTGTCAAAAACGTTGAGGTAAGTCTGCTTGTGAATTATTGTTGCGGCAGGAATTACGATTTAATAATTTTAATTTCTGTGGGAATATCTTTCGTAAGAATGTAGGCTGATTTTATTGCTATAAATTCAAATAAAAAAAAAAATATCTATATTATTTTTATTTTAGTTTTAATTACTTTGCTTTTCGACCAGTTCCTTTATTTTTTTTAAATAGATATTGTAGTTGTGATTAGACAGGAAATCAACATTAATAAAATAAGAATCGATTCATCAAATACTAATAGCAGTAAGTACTTATTACTGAATATGTAACGTTAGAATAAACCTAAAAGAAGTGAGGTGACCGTGTCATTGAATATTTGTACTCTCTGTGTATTATTCTTCGTTATATTAATTTCTTCTAGGAAAATGACTATTTCCTTATTAATATATTACTATCAATAAATAATTCCTAATATCTGTACACTCAATTATTATTTTTATTGATTTAATAATCGGTTTACCAAAAAAAGTATGAATGGCATAATTTAATATGTACATAAACTTGGCTGGAAAAAAGAATATTAAAAAAACCAGATGGCGCGTGAGCCGCAGCGCCCGAACACTATCGGCGGGAATAAATAAAATGTTATTAGATTTCATAAAGCGGCACCTGGGCGCAGCATCAGCTGCCATAGCCAATATAGAGTCATTAAACCCTTCGACGCTGGCAGCCATTTTGAATGCTTTCTACTTTTCCCGCTCTTTTATTTGTCAAAGAGAAAAGACGGATATTACGGAATTGTTTTAAAACAAACTCTTTCTTTGTTGAAATTCAATATCAATATTAAAGTTTCATCCGAGGATTCTCTAGGATAATGTAATTATTACTTGCAGTATTTTTGATCGACTTCCCAAAAGAAGGACGTACTCAATTCGTCTGTATGTTTTTTCTTTATGTGTGTTACGGCGTAACTCCGCCGCTAGTGGACCGATTTTGATAATTCTTTTTTTTATCCGAAAGGTAATGCTTGCAGGTGGGTCCCATTTTTTTTGTACGAAAAGCGATGCCAACAGATCACTCAGAATTATACACCAATTATCACGCTTTAGTGTACACAACTTTAGTACGACAAATAACGTCTACACTTTTTAAATTAACCTAAAAATTTGACTAATATCTTGTCGATTTGTTATGAAATCCGTCTCCACGCCTGTACACCTGCGCTAATTGCAGTTTGCGGCTAGTTGGCCGTGTAGGTTGGCCACACGTGTGCCAAATGTGAAAACATCCACTCCATTTAATGTGGGAAACGATTACCGCCAACTTGACACGGTAATATCAATGAAAATTACATAAAACGCTTTAGAATTCAGTAAATGCATATTAAACAGAAAATTATGTATTTTAATAATTTCGTAACAATAGAATTGCGCGGTTAAAATACATGGATATCTCTTTTATCTACTCTATGGTTAAAAGCAATTAAAACCTTACATCGAATTTGAGGTAAAAAAAAACAAATTAAACAAATGAATGAGTACCTCCTTTTTCAAGTCTATCTAAATGGCCGAATTATATTTAGTTTTTTATTTAATTTCCTACACCTGTTACTGAAAATGTTTTAAAGATTTTAAATCTTAGGAACACGATTATTGAGCGATAATGTTGGTTAAAATTAACATATTTTTAAAGGAATAAATGCCTTTTCATGAGATAAAGTTAATATCAGATTGTGGCATGAGCTGGGGGCCGCTTGTACCATGCGGGCTGTGATGCGGGCACCCCTATACACCTAGTTTGTGTTCGGTGCTTTATAGAAAATTTTACTTCTGATAAATTACGATTCTTAGCGGTTACAAAGTAGACTTTGTAACCGCTTTAGTACCGTAAGTTAGATTACTAACGTGTAACTATAAAGGGGGAAATTGATTAAAGAGTTAGGGGGAGGGAAAGAGCAGTAGTTATTTCTTTTTGCCTTGGTTTTTATAAATCATGAGTTCGCAAACGAGCAAGCGGCCATCTGAATTCGCCAAAATGGTGAAGCGACCGATGCCCATAGACATTCGCAATAGCAGATGCGTTGCCTTCCCTAATCGACGGAGGAGGACATAAAGAGTAGATTTCCTCTTCCTATGCGCCTCCTCCACCGTCAAGACACGTCCCCATCCCATCCTATTCTTATGAGAAAAAGGGTGGGAAAGAAAAGGGACCAAAGTTGGGCCACCGGCGCCACACTCATCAAACTGTATGCGGAATTGCTCCCGCTTCACGCATGTCTTCTGTGTGGTGGTGGCATTACACCGGGCAGCCGAACTATTCGTACGAAGATGTTAAAGCGGACTCTACCACTGTTAAATCTCCATCCATATATCCATAAATTTACCGATTACCTTACCTTCTTAAATGTCAACTTTTACTCCCATAATCGTACGAGCGTACCTTAGTGTACTTTTAGAGAAACGTACACACGGGCGGATCCAGCTTTGGCGCCAGGGGGGTCACATAGTCGTGGTCAAGTTAAGAGCTTGACAAATATGTAAATATATTTTGTCAAGCTCTTGATCAACCAGCTCAGGTGGGGTGGGGTCAGTTTAGATGGATGTATGTTAGAGTTTGTAGCCTAAACTGCTGGATATCTCGATGAAGGCATAGATGTAGAGGATAGTCTGGAAGAACACATAGGCTACTTGCTTTTGTCTTTATTACGTGGATGGGCGAAAGCTAATATCAAAGTGCTGGAGTTTCTTGTTAGAAAAGATCTCTTATCAAACAAGTCTATTTCAACAATGAAAATTAAAATTCAAGGTGGTATTGTGCGAAAGTATACCACTTGTGTAAACTTGCGCGTGTGCCGTTTGTCTGTTTGTTCAGTTGTGTGTTTTGTTTCACAACAGGTGTCTGTCTGTCCGTGTTCTATGGGGCCCGAGGGGTTCAAACAAGGAAATGTTATATACGTTTTGAAAGAAAGGAGGATTTTTTATTTATGACACACGAAAAAGATTGCTGTTAAAAGTACAGTGGGGGAATCTGGAGGTGTGAGCTTTAGTCGTTTGAATGAATTTATTGAGACAATAGTAACTAATAGGACCTTTTAAATGTGCCGGTACTGTCGATCAATACACGGTTAATTCTTTTTTATTATTATCGTATTGTTTATCTCATTGTAAGCTATAAGACGATTAATGTGTAAGTGGTACACCGCGGACTTCCTTTACTGTACTTATTTGTTTAGTTCAATTTAAGTTTCGTTTTTTCTCGTTAATGAAATATTCAAAAAAGTTAGTTTTAACTAGAATCAATTGGTTTATCTTAAGTGTACACTGCGGTGCTGTTGCATTTAACACAAATGTTACACTTAGCAATACATTGCTTGTCTTGCAGTAGCTGGCAATAGCTTGGCAATAGCTTGGCAATAGCTGGCACATTCCCCGGGGACCACCTGCGCCTTAATTGTTCCCCTAATGACGTGCATTACGTACGAACAAGGACTAATGGTGCCTACACTCTGTTTAATAAAAGAATCACTTATTATTGTTTTATATAAATGTAAAATTTAATTCTATCGTTCTTTTCGTATAAGAAACTAGCTGTTCCCATGCGACTTCATCCGCGTATAATTATAAAAAAAAAAACATTTTATTGTTTACATTTGTCAAATTATCAATTGCAAATGACATGACATGATGACAACCTTGCTTCCTTGCTGTTGGCAGCAATTAATGGTCTCTTTCCCACATTAAGGTTTTTATCCAAAATATTTACCCCCTAAGTTTAATGGCGTGATAATATATAGCCTAAAGTGTGACGCAAGTGTAGGGCTTTTTATTATAAAAAGAATTATTTAAAAATATGCTGTAATTGCTGACATCTTAGGCAACAAAGAAGTGTGTGTTTACGCTTTATTATAATAGTAAAGAAGTAAAGATAACAGACAACCATGAAATCTTTAAACATAGTTATACAAAAAGTGTTAAACTGCACTTTTGTATATGAATGTACGCATAACAAAGATAGTAAGATATGACTGAAGTATTAGCATATCTGTACGCGACTATACATGTATTACGGTTACAATCATTACAGATCTTAAATATTTCAATCATTTTACACTATTGTACACGAGTGTACATAACAGGCAGCACGTGTTTAGTTTTGAAACTGTACATCTGTGTACAACTGTACACTGTACGCGAGTGTACATGTGCACGCAGCTGCTGCTATTTTGAAGACAACCGCGTCCCCATTTGACAGGCAACACTAACATTCTCTTCGTGTCGCTAAAAGTGATGTTATACACGTTTTTCTGTTTTCATAAGAGGCTTACGGTACTAAACAAGATTAAATTAAAAAAAAAACGTACATATTGCAGTTAAGACTTATGCGTAAATTTTAGGTATAGACATTGGTGACTAGTTCAGTGCAAAAACGCTTTCGTTTTATACACAACTAGCTGTTCCCATGCGACTGCATCCGCATAAAATTTAAAGAAATCGCTTTGTTGTTTACATGTGTCAAGTTATTAATTGTAAATGTCAAAATGACATTAGATGGCAAATTTTGGTAACCTTGCTTCCTCGATGTTGGCAACTTATGGTCTCTTTCCCACATTAGGGTTTTTATCCAAAATGTTTACCCCTAAGTTTAACGGCGACAAATATATAGCCTAAAGCGTGACGTAAGTGTAGGGCTTTTTATTTAGGAATGAATTATTCAAAAATATGTTGTAATTGCTGACATGTTAGGCAACAAAGAAGTGTGTGTTTACGCTTTATTATAATAGTATAACATTTTTTATCGAGCATTTTTCAATTGTATTTCCACAAACACCGACAATAAGTAAAATGTAAAACTCAGTAGCTAGCATGTCTGTTCTAGGGTTGTAACGGAGGCCATTTTAACGGACAACATTGTTAACATTTACATTAAACCAAAATACAGATTGGTACATAATTACAAGCCTGGAAATAGAAAGGCTGGTGGGGGAGCCAAACATCATAGGCGAAGTCAAAGCCCATTGACTTCGCTGGAAAGAATG